TTGATAATAATCTATTGTTATTCACTCCCGATGTGACCATTACACACCTTGTGAATTCAACGCACTTTTATTTGCAGTTCCATTTTAAACTTTTCAAATAGACGATATATACGGGAGTCGTCTTATTGATTTTAAAATTTATAAAATGAATTATAATTATAATATATTATAAATACTCTATATAAAGTTATTTAATAACGTTATACGGAGTATTTTAGGTTGGGGGGAGGGGGTAGCGGAGAGCGCGGAGGAAAGTTATGCTGAGTGACCGGTGAATATCCGCAAAGCAACCGGGATATCCTCTAGCATAGTTTCAAGAATCAATCTAGAAGCTTAATTCGCCTTAATTAGCGACTGCTTAATTCTGAACCGAATTCATCCTGTTGAACCGAGTTTAACGGATTGATAAATCTACGGATAATTTGGCGGCTACTCCTTTATATACGTATCTATGCGTGTGCAAGCAGTAATTCTATTTATTGACATTGTCCGTGATTGGAATGCGAGTGATGGGTATACCGGCGTCTGCATTCACACCCGATGGTTTCTTTCACAGGTCGAGAGGCACACACGTTCCCCGGGCACCAGCCAGAACTAGACAATGCTGTTACGAAGGCAGCCTATAACAGCTTTGAAACAGAGTCGAGAGCTACTTTCATACAAACCGAAGCCGGACAGGAATAGCGGACGAATTTGTCGCGTTACTTACGTACCCACGTTTGATTAATGTAATGCTAATTGTTTTACATGATGTTACCTCAACTACGAAAGGGATAAAGATCAATACAGCGCCAATAGATGACGCAGACGTAAATTATAACATATATAATATATATCTATATATAATACATATACATATACGTAAAGTAAATTACTTATTATTAAATCAGAGTGAGAATCAATGCGTTAATTCACGTCGATTTCCAGATGAAAAACGCCCTATGAAATTAGTTCGTTTTACGGCCGTTAGATGGCGTGAAAGGGCCGTTTCGTCTAGTTTCGTTTATTTCATCATAGTATGGAAGCCCTGAAACGACATCCGACTTTTTGAGTTTCAGAGTTTTCGAGTTTCTGAGTTTCCGAGTTTCTGAGTTTCC